AGCAATATAAAAGAGTATATGACTAAAATGCAGTAAGAGTGATCCAAATAGAAAGTATCATGAGATTTCAGAGAAGGGAGAACTCACTCTGGTCTGAATGGTCAAAAAGTTTTCACTGAAGATGAAAAAAGAATGGGCTGAACTTAGCAGGAAAGATATGAATTAGACAATGGCCAAGACAACTAGAACCTTCATGGTAAACAACAGAACCAAATGACAAAGGCAGAGAGAGTATGGCCTTTCCCAGAATATTCTATGGCCTGATTTGATTATTCTTCCTCTACTGGAAGATCAGGTTGGAGAAGTACATTGAGGCTCCATGGTAGAGAACTTGGGGTACCTGGATGAAGAACTTAAACATTAAATTATAGAACAACAGTCACATTAATTTATTGATTTAGGCAATAAATACATATTAAGTGCCTACTATGTTTTGTTCTAAGTGCTAGGGATACAACTGTGAAAAAAATCCCTGTCTTTATGAAATTTACTTTCCATTCTCACACCCAAATGCCCCGTGGTACAATAGGTAACAGAACTAAGCAAAGCAGGCAGAATAAATCACTAGGGACCATGGCACGAGGTGATGGTCAGTTCTGTGTGTCAACTTGACTGAGCCACAGGGTAGCCAAATATTTGGTCAAACACCATTCTGGGTGTGTCTGTGAGGCTGTTTCCTGACGAGATTAACATTTGAATCCACAGACTGAGTAGACTGTTCTTCCTAATGTGGGTGGAGGACCTGAATAGAACAAAAAGTCTGAGTAAGAGGGAACTCCTGCCGCTTGACTGCCTTAGAACTGGGACATGGGTTTTTTCCTGCCTTCAGATTCAAACTGAAACACTGGTTCTTCCTAGGTCTCAAACCTGTTGGTTTTGGGAATGGATCTACACTGACAGCTCTCCTGAGTTTCCACTGTGCCAACTGCAGATCTTGGGACTTGTCAGTCTTTGTAACTGCATGAGCTAATTCCTTATAATAAATCTCTGTATATATACATAACCAATAGGAGATATATAGATAGATAGATAGATAGATAGATAGATAGATCTCCTACTGGTTCTGTTTCTTTGGATAATCTTGACTAATACAGGTGGGGATGAGGGCAAACTGTAAAGCGCATAACTTGCTCCAGCTGATGGCTTCCATGTGAAAATGGGGACCCAACTCTGCCGGATCATTTATTTGCCAAGAGAAGACAGAAATGTGGGGGTTTTCTATTCTCTCAAGTTTTAAATACTAACAACACAGTTAAAAAAAAAAAAAGCACATGGCATCAGCCAAGCAAAATGTGTCTACAGGTCATATGCATCCCAAGGCTGCCCATTCTTTACCACAGCTTTAGACAATTAAGAGCCAACAGAGGTTTTCAGAACAGGATTGATCTTCTGTCAGTACATGGTGAGAATTAGAAGAGAGTCAAACTAAGGACTCAGAGACCAACTAAGAGAGGCTCTTGATACAATCGAAGTTCAAATGATGCAAGTCCAGTACAGAGTCATGATAGTGAGACCGAAAAGGAAGGAACACTTGAAGATGTGGTGGTAACAGAAAGGATGAAGAATGGAACATGCCATTCCAAGACAGGCTGACAATTAGGCTGTTGGTAGCGTTGCAAGTATTAAAGTAACACAAATTAATATAATGGATATACTTCAAAATTTCAATGGCCTAAGAAATAAGTTCATTGCTCACTCACATAACAGTCCTATACAGCTGTGGGGCAGCTGCCTTCTCCACAATGATTCAGAGATCTAGACTCCCCTCTATTAAAACTACACCACATCTCAGGGCCTCGGAATCCTTCACTTTGAGTCAGCAAACAGGTAAAGAGCCTGGAGAATCAAGCAGGGAGTTTTTGATGGGCCTAGTCTTGGAGTAAAGCACATCACACCTGCCCACATTTTACTGAGTAGAACTTAGTCACAAAGCCATACCAACTACAAGAAAGAAAGAAGAAAGGAATTTGATAAATAACTAACCAAGTTGTCAGACGAAAGGAATGGGTCTTTATTCTCTTTCAGCCTATTTTTACAGCTATAAAGTGAAAGGTCTGGAATTTGTACTTTCTGCAATTCCTATCAATCTTTATTAAGTTTTTTGTTATTTAAGTGGTGGAAAAAAATACAGTAGAAGCCAGAATATTTCTACTGTTAATTTATTATAAGACATATACAGAATAATGTCATGTCCTTTCTTAGGACAACACCTTATAACATCATTTTAACTGATAAAAGCAATATTCAAATTATGTATTTATGACTTTTTTTTTTTTTTTTTTTTTTGGTACACGGGACTCTCACTGTTGTGGCCTCTCCCGCTGCGGAGCACAGGCTCCAGACACGCAGGCTCAGCAGCCAATGGCTCAAGGGCCCAGCCGCTCCGCGGCATGTGGGATCTTCCCGGACCAGGGCATGAACGCGTATCGCCTGCATCGGCAGGTGGACTCTCAACCACTGCGCCACCAGGGAAGCCCTATGACATCTTATTAGCAATTATCATAACGCTGATCACACACAATGGATTGATATCACACGATATTTCCTTCCTGTATTTCTAGATAACCATAGATCTTTCTGTACTAATGACAATGAGTACATACAAAAGGATAATGTGCTTCTTTAGACTTTAATTAACACTGAATGGAATTATGCTTAGAATAAATAAAAGACGAACAGCTTTCTTTTCATTCTCTTATTCTCTCTTGTTCCTAACAAAAATAATTTATAATTTCAACTTTTCCTGCTGCTACTCCAAAATCCCAGTTTTAAAACCCAATCAAAAGATGCCAACATATTCCAAAGTGAAAGAATGCTTTGGATTCTGTACTCCTCCTGTCTTCTTCATCTTTAAGATTTTAAGTCTTTTCTTTCCCAAGCTGCCAGTTACACTGAATTGTTCTGAAATGTGAAAGATTTTTTTGTGTAAATATGAGCTTCCATCGACTGGAGCAACAATAAGCACTTCACACTTGTCATTTACTAAAACCTGCCTTTTGAGCCCTGTCAGTCATGTGCCTCTACATGTGTGTTTCTTGGTTGAAGCCGCAATGTTTTATGGCAGCTTCTGTTTAGGAATTCATGTCGCTACTTGGCATTTATGCAGTTCAGCTGTTAGAAAGTCAGGGTAAAAGGAAAGAAGATACACAGGAGCAAAGGTTTCAGGAGCAAAGAGGGAAATAAGAAAGGGCTTTAGGTTATGAAACAACCATGCCAGCCAAGTGGTATCAGTGAACCACAGGCACACCCGTTGGGTTTAGGAAAGACACTGCAACAGAACAGATGCAGCTCACACCCATCCTGCTGATCTGGATGGCTGAGTGCTACTACAAAGGCCAAGTGTTGCATGAAACATTAGCAGTTATGTTCACCTTTCAAGATTTTTCATCCCTTACAACACTGAGCTTGATTACAATGTGTGCCACTGAGCTTAGATGAGCTTAAAGCAAAGACAAAGAAACTCTGGAAGAGACAGACATATGGATGAAAAGCTAAATACTTTGGTTGCTAATCAGGGTTGACATAACTGTACATGATTCATAACATGGGTTCAAAAATGCCCAGAAGTTCAGATATTTATCCAACATTTATCTGCATAAAACCATGTCCCTTGAGGCTCGTGTATTTTAATGGGAAAATAATAGGAATAGGCTTTCTCTGGAGTTCTCAAACACTCTTTGAGCTTCTTCTTAGTCTCAAATCACTAGGAACCATGAGTTTAGAGATTTAAGGTCAGGGAGCAACCTTTTTCAAAATAGGTAAATAAAAAGTAACGCAAATTAAATTTCATTCCCTTCCCAAATAACTCCAGGAAAGATTTTCACTCTTGTTTAACTGACGTCCTCTATTTGTACTTGCCAAGGAGAGAATGTAGATTTCTAGGGGTTCTTTGGAAGATGTAAGTTATAAATAGAGAGAGGTAAAGAAGCAGAGATAAAATTTAAAATGTATAGAAGTTAAAAAACATATTTTCTCCAAAAATCATTGCTTCTACTCTGCAGCTCCTTCACATCTTTAACTAAATAACTTGAGTCTTGCAAGTGATGCATTTTTAGATTTGTTGTGAAGTCCACACTGTAAAATATCCATGTCTTATTAATATTTTAATATTGATATATTAATATTAAAATATTATCTTAGTAGAAAACCTCTTTAAAACAACCAAATACAAATGATTGTGAATAACTAAATGATATTAGACTTTAAGACATGAACACAACATAATATTTATAATAGATTCTCATTCATCTCCAACTTCTTTGGGCACATACATGTATTCTAGCTTCATTTATGCTTACTCATTTTTAGTTTAAAAAAAGAAAAACACCTCAATCTAAAAACTGAAATGGGTTATCTATTATGGCTAAAATTACCCACACAGTGTATGTGTACTGATACTGCCCAACAATAAGAATGCTTTGTATGCGTACACAATGAACAATGTTCTTACACTTAATGTCTCTTCACATATAATGGAAAATAATTGTCAGCCAAGGGTATATATAGAAATTTTCACACACTTATCGCTTCCTCCTTTTTAGTCATTTGCCAAACCAAAGAGTATATTAAATTGCTTTGCTTTTCTCTTCCACACTTAAAAACTGTAGTTCAACAATTCTTTGAGCCTTAGAACTTTATTGCTTTCGTATAACAAAGTGGTTAACTAAGGCACAGAATTAGTCAACTTCTTGTTCCAAAAGCTCAGCAACAAAAGTATTCCTAAGGTAACAAAACGACTAAAGAAAGCTAATTATCAATTAACACCTCAGTGCTTCAAAAACAGTTACGAGTTGGACATGAAACCAGGACAGGATCTCAAGTATTGTGTTATGCTGTGCATGGCACAAAACTGGGGATTGCTGACTTTTCTTCTCCAAGGGGCTGACAGTTTATTTCTAATCCACTATTAGAAATAATATCTTAAAAAATTTAGTAAAGGAATCTTGTAAAAAGTTTACAAACTGATACATCGTCATACCTTACCTCTGAAATCTGTGTAAGGGCTCACTTTGGCAGCACACATACTGCAATGGGGACAACATAAGAAAAGATTAGCGTGGCCTGTGCACACGGAGGACATTTAAACTTATGAAATGAACTGTATTTTCCAGTGATTACCAGGGACCAGGGGATGTAAGGGGAGGGTGGCGGTAATGACCACAAAGGGCCACAATGGAACTTCTGAGTAGGAATAAAAATGTTTTATATCATGATTGCAGTAGTGGTAATACAACAGTATACATTTGTCAAAACTCACCGAATTGCAGCCTTAAAATTGGTAAATTTTATTGCATGTAAGTTACATCTCAATAAAGCTAACCAATTTTTAAATATTAAAAAAAATTTTTTTGGTAAGAATTTTGATTCTGCCATCCCATGCACTAATTGGAGTGATAAAATTTCATGCAAAGCACAAGGACTTTCCCCCTCTATTCACCTCTGTTTCAGGCACAACAGAACCAGCTGGTCTTATAACAATTCATCAGTCTTTTGCAATGAGATAAAAACGTACCATATTTAGATACTGCAATAAACAATTATTTCAGTGGAGTATGTAATAGTTGCACATCACTAAACTAAGGCAAATATTGAGGAAACATGGAAAGTGAAATGATTAATAATCAATAAGTTGCTGCTTCTCAGAAAACAAACAAAATACTTTGAGGATAATGTCTTTCTACAAGAAAAAAATTATTATTCAACTTTTGATCACAAAAATCTATTTTCTTTCTCCAACCATTCATTAGATTAAAACTTTTTTAAAAATTTTATATATATATATATATATATATATATATATATATATACACACATTATGCACAGAAAATAGGTATGTGTTTGTCCCCAGTATATGCACTCAGAACAACAGAAGTTTGTTTGATGAGATCAATAGTATGGAAAAGAGTTACTTATTGTCTTTTCTCCCTCAAGAATTTTTTTTGGCACATCAATCTGATGAGGTGGGAAAAATGAAGCCTGAACAGAAAACAAAACTGAAGCTAAAAACAATAGAGAAGATTGATTAACCCCACGTTATCAAGTAAGTGTCAATAGCAAGAAGCTACTAGGCTTCTGCACTGTTTTCCTCTAAACTTTTAGCCTTACATCCGTCAAACCTCAAGATAACTATCCATCATGGAGTCAAAGTGGCGAACAACTGTGTGGTCCTTTGATAAGGGACAGTGTCACAATTTGTCTCCTTCTCTTCCCACAGATCACCTCTAATGGGGTAAGGCCAGGCCACAACAGCTGCAAATAGCCCAGACATTCTTTAGCATAAAAAAAAAGTCTCAGAAAATATGTAGAATAAGAATCTAAGCAACCTTCAAAAAAATCTAAACTCAATGATTATTTACTTGGATGTTTTATGTATGTTTTCTTCTTTCTAACACTAGTGTTGATAAACCGATGTTTAAGTATAATTAAATGGCAAAATTGTGATGCATTTAAAAATGTGGTAATGTTAACAATCCCCTGAAAGCTACAATGCAGCATCTGTATAACTAAGTAATATTTAAAATCAGTGGCTGAACTATATTGAAATTTATCCAAAGTCTCCAAGAAGGTAATTCACACACTTAGATGTACCATGGAACATTATCTATGCCATTCAAAAATGAAGAGGTAGCCCCAACCTCCCTGCAAAAACATCGGCCTAACTAATGAAGAATGCTTAGTAGCATAAGAAAATGACCATGTCATAATATTAGGGAAAAGAAAGCAAAATTTAAAAATATGAGTTATGACTATAATTATGTGAAATATTCACAGGAAAAATGGTTGAAAGTTTATAAAGTATAACAATTGGCATGTTAGAGTAGTGAGTTTATGGACAATAACTTTTTCTGCTCTGTCTTAATGAATTGTTTTCAAAAATTGTTTTATTATTTCTTGACATATTTTTTCCTCTACACATGTGCAAGCTTAGCAAGTTTACATGAAGATTTCCTAACACTCTATGTCAGCAAATATTAGCTTTAAAAGAGTTCTGTATCATCACCAGCAGGGAAGATGTCATCTCAAGCCAATCTGCAACTACCCTATTGTGGGCAGCAGGTGCCAGCCTCTTGAGCAGGATGCAGCTCAAAGGTAGTGAGAAGAAATGTCATCCTGGGTACGTGTTCTGAGGCCTTGTCTTGGTACTCAAGACCTTCCAGTGGAATGGTATAAAGTGGAGATGGGAAGAGAGAATCTAAAATTTATGTAATCAGTTCACAACTTCATAGAACACCCTGATGTCATCAAACAAAGGAGTGATTTGCCTCACCCTGACCACATTTCTCCCCTTAGGCTATAGTTTGTGACATCTTTTGCCTTCAGATCTGCTCTTGGGGTTCATTTTTTACTTATTTTACGTGTATAAAAATATTTAAGGGGGAAACACTGAGTGTCCCCAGGCTCCCAGCCCTTTACTGAGAAGACAAGTCTTCAGCCATATATGTGCCCCAGTGTTCTCCAACTGTCGTGATTTGAGAAGTACATTCTTTTTTATCCTGAAGGAATTTTGGCATATTGGGCTTGAAGACGCAGCTATCAGAGAATTATAATTATCTGGCATCATTTTCAATTAACATTAATTTGGGAATGGACAAGGATATGGGCAAAATAAGACCTGTGAGAATGGGACAGTAGATAGGAATAGGGACCACCTAAAGGGAGAGGAAGTTTACAGAAAAGGAAGGAAGGAACCCTACAAATAAAATTTTGCTTCATTCACCATTTGATCCTTGGTCAATCCTGTTGATCCTGGTTGAGTAAGAATGCGAGCTTAAGAATGTGACCAACTTGGATTCAATCCCATCTCTACCACTTACTAATCACGAGGTCATAAACAAGTTACCTAACATGTCTCAGTAGTGTGCTTCCTTTACTGTCCAATACGGAAAGTAATATATACTTCATGAAAATATTTTAAGTAATAAATGAGGTAATTATGTATTTAACCATAATCGAATAAGAACTTCACCAATGTTAATAACTATCCACTTTATTTTCCCTTTTAGTTTCTTCTGCAAATTAAGGATTTGCTCCCTAAATCCATATTTGCAATGAGCTTTGAAACTTCATTAAAAATATTTGATTACAAATAAACAAATGTGACCTAATCAAGCTTAAAAGCTTTTACACAGCAAAAGAAACCATAACCAAAATGAAAAGACAACCTACAGAATGGGAGAAAATATTTGCAAACAATGCAACTGACAAGCGGTTTATTTCCAAAATATACAAACAGCTCAGATAACTCAAAATCAAAAATATAAACAATGCAATCAAAAAATAGGCAGAAGACCTAAACAGACATTTCTCCAAAGAAAACATACAGATGTCCAACAGGCACATGAAAAGACACTCTACTTCACTAATTAATAGAGAAATGCAAATCAAAACCACAATAAGGTATCTACTGTATGATCCAGCAATTCCACTGCTGGCATATATCTGGAAAAGATGAAGACTCTAATTCGAAAAAATACATGCATCCCAATGTTCATAGCAGCACTATTTACAAGAGCCAATACATGAAAACAACCCAAGTGTCCATCAACAGACAACTGCTTTAAGATTATGTGGTACACACACACACACACACACACACATACACACAAAATGGAATATTACTCAGCCATAAAAAAGAATGAATAATGCCATTTGCAGCAACATGGATGGACCTAGAGAATATCATACTGAGTGAAGTCAGACAGATATCATATGGTATCACTTATGTGTAAAATCTAAAAAATAATACAAATTAACCTATATACAAAAGAGAAACAGACTCACAGACATAGAAAACAATTTCATGGGGCGGAGTAGTCAAGATGGCGGAATAGAAGGATGCAGAATTTGTCACTCCTCACAAGTACACCAAGAATACATCTACAGATGGAACAATTCTCACAGAGCAGCTGCTGAACATTAGCAGAAGGCTTCAGACACCTAAAAGCACAAGAAGATCCCCTCACAACTGGGTAGGATGAAAGAAAGAAGAAAAAAAAAGAAAAGAGGAATCAAAACAGGGACCAGCAACCCTGGTGGGAAGTTGAAGATGAGGGGAGGTCTCCACACTCAGAAAAACTCCCTCATGGTGGGGAAATCATCTGGGACAGAAAAAGGACCTTTGGGGGATCAAAAGTCTGTGGGAGGCAGGACAAAGTAAGAACTACATGCAGCGTCTATACCATAGCTCTGCGCATTCCAGCCTGAGTTGTGAGTCACCTGTTGCAAAGGGGGCCTGGGTGCTGGAAAGTGGAGTTTGGAGCATGGACCCGGGGGGGGACAGCTCTTGGCTGTGAAAAGACAGCCAGAAGGGACAGGAGTAAGGAGTTCCACAACCTAGGAAGTCTGCAGAAAAAGCCCAGGACACCACAGAAGCAAGGCATCATTGCTGAGTGGTGCACAAAGGGTGGAGCCGCCATTACAACCCCTTTCCCCACCCACCAGTTTCTTTGGGCACTGGGAGGGGCTCCCATCTGAGCGGGCCCATCCGCCCCTTGGGCCAGGGTCTCTTATCTGTCCATCCCAAAGCCTCCCTGTGAATCAGCCCTGGGTGCCCCTGCCTGGGAACAAGAGTCCACAGATGCTGGTGGGGGCTGAGTACTAAAGTGTGGGGCTGGGAGAATGAATCCAGGGAGAAGAGCACTATTGGCTGCGCGGATACAGCAGAGGGGACAGGAGCGAGGGGATGCATGACCAGGAATACACCTAGAGGAAGTGTGCCCAAAAAGCAAGGTGCCATTGTTGAGAGGTGCATGGGGGGGGGCGGGACCACCACCAGCCCCACACATCAGCTCCTGCCTCTGCAGGCACTGGGAGGGACTCCCACCTAAGTGAGCACGCCACAGTCTGTTGCAACTGCCTGCTGGTCCCCGCTGCCACAGGCAACTCACACACACCCCAAGTGTGCCCACCATACCCCTCCCCAGCCTGAGTGAGTAAGTGTGCCCCAAGCAGCTGCTGCTTTTGCTCCTCTCGCCTGGGCAAGGAGCAGATGCCTGAAGGTGGCACACATGCAGAAGTGGGGTCAAAACCAAAGCTGAGTCCCAGGGGCCCTGCAACTAAGGAAGAGGAATGGAAATCTTTCTGTGCAGCTGCACAAGCCACGAATTAA